CGGGGGGCGTCCCCGCGGCGGGGCGTGGGCTGCATGGGGCCTGCGTGCTGGGGATGCCGCAGCCTTGGAAAAGCGTCCGGGGCCGGAGTGTAGGAGGAGGCACTTTAATCAGATCTTAGAAGTTTTGGGGAGCCGTTGAGGGGAGTAGCTCATGAAAGCAAGGTTTCAGGGAGGTTCCCTCTAGCAGTGCGTGTGGAGTGTAGAGGGAGCAAATATTTAATGAGGTTCTTAATTCTCATCAGTCCTACAAGAGTGCTGCAAGGCAGGTGACAATGCGGGACAGGCTCAGAGAGGAGGGTGGCTTGCCAGTCTGGCCCTTTAGCTACTGCGTGAGTCCTTTACCCCCCTGCTCAGAGCGGGGACCCATGGGGACTGACCAGGTGATGGGGATGAGGCAACACGGACCCCCTTGGCCCAGGGGACTTGGGTCCAGGACCCTGGCAGCTGTGAGAGGAGTGGGGAGTCGGAACGTTCTCCACTTGCACTGGAAGCCAGACCCATGGATGAACTTGGCCAGCCTCCTGCCCCTCCCGGGCTGTAGTTAAGTGGGGACAGTGGTGTCTTCCTCCCCCGGTTCTTGGCAGGACTGAGATGGTGAATGTCAGTTGCTTAGCACAGGGCAGAGTGACTGACTACCGTGTGGTGGCCATTTTTGCTAATGCCACAGAGACCCAGGAAGACCGGGGAGACCTTGGTGGGTCCTGTGCTTTGGACCTGCCGTTTGGCAGTGGACGCAGGGCAGGTAGCTTCTCCCACCCAATGTGCCCCCCACCCCTGGGTGGAATGTCTATTGTGGTGTCCCCGCGGGTACATGACAGGGGGCCTCCCCGTTCTGCCCCCACTTGGGGTGCCTGAGCCCTGGGCTGCCGAGCTGAGCCGTCTCACTGTCGTTGGAGCTGCCCAGAGGTCCTAGACTCTCCCCGCTGCACATGACCTTCTTTGAGACCAGAGGGCATATCCTGGACACACTTCTAGGAAGCTGTACCCTGATTGTTTGTCCTGTGACAAATCAAGGGATTTGTTGGGGTTGGTGGGACTGGGGCCTGGTAATGTCCCCACCAGCACGCTGAATTGCACACGTGGCCTGTGTGTGCGTGTACGTGCGTGCGTGCCAGGCACACGCAGGCCGACCTGAGGAGGACGGCATCTGTCTCCCCCACATCCACACGCACACCACACACCTTGGTTATTTGTTATCTTTGGCATGAGCTTCGGGTCAGGTCGTTTGAAGGGCTGGACCGTCACTCTGGTTCCTGAGAGAGAGGTGACAGTAAACACCACGTTGGCATTTCTCTGGTAGAAGCTGCAAAGTGACAGTTCTGTCACCTAGGGATGGTATTCAAAGTATGTAACACCCTGAACAGAGCTCCTGACCTGGCAGGAGGGACTTGGCCGTGAACCACTGGCCGTCCGTCTTCCTGCACAGTGTCCACACCCATCCCCTTGCCCAGTGCCCGTGCACCCGCATGCCTTCTAAGACTGGACCCCGCAATTTCCCCTTGCCGGCACTGGGTTCTGCTCGCTTCAGCCACCAGGTCTCTGCCAGGGGTCGGCTTTAGGAGACCATGAAAGAGTTATTTGTTTTATAACACACTTTGCCCCCTTTATGACATATTTTAATGGCAAAACAATAAAGTTAATTACAAAAATAATTATGCAGAACAAAAGAAGAAGATAAAAATTATGGCAAAGTGATAGCTTCCTAGAAATATTTTTCTTTTTGCTTTTTTTTTTTAAAGTTTATTTTGAGAGAGAGACAGAGAGAGAGAGAGTGCGAGCTTGAGCGTGAGCAGGGGAGGGGCAGAGAGGGAGAGACTCCCGAGCAGTGACCACACTACTGGTGCTGAGAACATGGCACTCGAACTCAAGAACCATGAGATCATGATCTGAGCTGAAACCAAGAGTCCGACGCTCAATCCGCTGAGCCACCCGGGAGCCCCTATTTTTCTTTTTTGATTAAAGAGTATTTTCTTGGGGCGCCTGGGTGGCCCAGTCGGTTGAGCGTCCGACTTCGGCTCAGGTCATGATCTCACGGTCGGTGAGTTCCAGCCCCGCGTCGGGCTCTGTGCTGACAGCTGGGAGCCTGGAACTGCTTCGGATTCTGTGTCTCCCTCTCTCTCTGCGGAGTATGCTTCAGAGTGTCTCTTGCTAATTTTCAGTTACAACTTAGCTCTGTTTTCTGTGTGTGCCACGTCCCATTCTTGGCACCTGCGTGTGAGCCCAGGGGACTCTCCCACAGGCAGAGAGAGCAGGTGTGACGATTATCATACCCATTTCGCAGATGGAGAAACAGACCTGATGCTGGAGTGTCTCCCCCGTGGGCTAACAGCCGCGGGTGGCGTCTCGGTCTGGCACACGCTGACCCTCGAGCCGGTTACCTGCGTGCCTCTCTGCTTGGTCCCCGTCGCAGTTTCGAACTTAACAGACTGCTTCTGTATAACTCACCTTGAATTTCTGTCCTGCGGTGTTTGCCCACGGTCTAGAGCAGGGATTCTTTACAGGACCGCACATCCCAGGACACACGGATCCTCGCTCCCCAGAGACATTTGTTTGGAGTCCTTGGGGCCATTTCTCCGCACTGCTTCAGACTCCCCCATCACATGCGAGCTCCGGACGTCTGCGGGTGTGCACGTCTGCGGGTGTGCGGTGCGGCTGCGGTTCCGCGGGGCAGTGAGTGCGTCAGGCCGGCACCGTGCACCCGCACCTCCAGCCGGTCGTTCGTGGCCTTGGCCATGACTGTCCGAGCCCGGGAGCCGCTTCAGACCTTGGGATGTAGCTGTCTCGTTGCCCACCTCTTTGTCCCGTGCCCCTCCCTCCGTTCCCGACCTGGGTTCTCTGCGCCGGTGAGCAGGGCCAGGCCAGCCTCAGCACGATGGCGACTGCCCCGGTCACACAGCCACCGAGCGGCCGGCTTGCGGCCTGAACCTTTCTGTGCTCCAAGCCACGTTCTTGGCCGTGCACGATTTTTTCACTCCATTGCCCCATTGTACAAAACGCGTGCGTGGCCGAGCTTCCCGTCTTGTGTTGCCCACACCCGTGGCACCTTGTACTCTCGGGGTCCGTCACACGGCGCCCACTACCGCGACCCTCCGTGGGTCCACCTCACATGTTGCCCTCTCCAATGAGACTTTTCCTCCTCCATCCGTCCATGAGGCATCCCCTCCCCTGCCTGGGGTCCATCTCAGCACGGGGCCAGGGGTGAGGATGAGTGCCCTCTGCCGGGTCTCTGTTTTGAGGGGGAGGACGGCGTCCTCTGCATTTTCCTGGACTTTGGAGCACCCGCCGCTCCCTCGCCAGGAGCAGTCAGTGGCGCCACCCCAAACGCCACACACTAGGGCAAGTGAGCAAACATGGTGGGCGGGCTCTCTCTTGTTTTCCCGTTGTTGTTAGAAATTCAGTTCTTTGGTCATTGAGAGGCAGCATAACCGTGAGGCCAGAGGACCCTACCTTTACAGTTGGGGACACAGCAGGGGGCCGTGGGGCAGGCCGCTGGGGGGGTATGGGCCCTCTCCCAGGGGGGCTCCCTGCTCGACTCCAGCCACTTCTGCCACATGGGGATTTAGGCCTGATGGGGATAGATGGCCAGGCTTTTCCAGGAAAGCTGAAAACTGAGACTTTGTGCACTATCGCATAACTTTTAAACATAGGCAACTGATTAAATATTTCCAATATTTGCGGAAGCCAAAATGAACGACCAAGATCAATAAACCGACAGAAAACAAGTCTGCAGGCGGTGGTTGGGAAGCTCTAGTCCCAAAGGCCCTCGTTGGACGTCAGAGAAGGAGTCTCCCTCCTCAAAGTGCCGACCCCTGGCTTCCAAAGGTCAGCCTCCGAGATGAGTACGTCAGAGTCCCTGGAAGGCTCGGGAAAATGCGGAAAACGCAGAGTGAGGGGCCCAGAGCTCTGGGGCTATGGAATCGGTCTCTGGGCCGTCCCAGCCTCTGCACTCTTCAGTCTTTCCAAGCTCTCCAGGTGTGGCCGCTGTTAGACCAAGTGCACTCCCGGTGCAGGGTCGTCCAACTTCCCTGACGATGGCGGTCCCCCGAGGCTCTGGGGGAAAACCCAGCTTCCTAGTCCCATTTCCTGGAGATGCTGATTCAGTGCGTCTGGGACGGGGCCTGGGAATTCGTGTCTAACAAATTCTTACCCGAGAAGTCTGGAAAATCCTCGCACGAGTGTCCTCCAGAGACTCGGGGAGGGAAGATTTGCCCGGAACCACACAGGGTCACCCGGCACGTCCGCCTCTCGCCTGAGCACGTGCTCTTGGGCTGCAGCCTGAGGGCCGGCCGCCCGGCGGTTGTGGGCAGTGGGGCATGTCCTCCGCAGGGCACTGTGCACGTGGTCTGGCAGGACCCGGGCGAGAGGGTTTCTGCAGCCTGGCTGGGATGCGGCTCTTGGCTGGGTTCCCCGGCAGCCACAGAGGGAGCCTTGGTGGGACATCTGCAGGGTGTCCGGGCATGCCTGTGGCCCTAGGGGTCATTGTCCTGGGGAGCCGGACATACGCCCGGTTGGTCAGAGCAGGACGCAGGGCTGAGACACACTCTGGTGGGCCACTTTCCTGACTGTTCCTCCGAGCCTGGAAACTGCAGAGAGCCAAAAGAGGACAAGAGCCTCAGCCCCAGGGTCCCTGCCCCCCACCCGCCGTGGCGCCACTCTGCTGTGTCCGTGTGTCCACACGAGATTTCTTTTGCAGATTAGGTCTGGTAGCTAAAGAAGTCTGAACAACTTGATGTAGCACAACTCCTTCATGTCAGTGATGAGGAAAGAGGCCCAGGAGGGGACAGACCGCTGAGAAGGCAGAAGAGCGTTCCTCAAGAGACAAGCCATCTGGGAGACCTGGAGCCCAGTCCCGGCTCGATGGCTCTGGCTGTGTGGCTTCAGGCCGGTTGTGCGCTTCTCTGAACCCCCCTTTGCTTTCTTCAGAAGCAGCCTGGAGACTTTACTGCAGGTGCCCTCCTGGAATCTGCGGCCCCAGGGACGTGGGCAAAATGGAAAGGATCCGTGAACTTGGACGGGAAGATACTAGGTCTTCAGGCTTTTTACCTCCGTTTGCATTTCCTTCAATTATGCATATTAGCACCAAAGTACAATGGCATTAGCACCTGTGATTTTGTTACCGAGGCAAACAACCAAAACACTTTTCTGTCTCATTACAGTTGCAGGTATCTTGAGACAAGGTTGATACTCGTCACTTCAAAATCACCATAAAAGTTGCCCGTAGAGCTTGTTTAATGCGTTCACAAAGGAGCACGTAATTCTATATCCCACCTCTAAAATTATTCTGATAACTGTGTTTCAATATGATCGGTTTCCTTGGCACTCATTTGCACCTTATGCGTTTGAAAACATTATTCTGAGAAGGGGTCTGTGGCAAAAAAGGCTAGGAATCTGGTGTTAGTGGGAAATCAGAGAGGACAGATGTCTTCCAGGTCTGGAACCTTCTCTTCAAATGAACCAGAGCTGCTCTGCTCAAATGGGGGCCACTCATCTGCGTGGTCTTCCTCCGTCTCTCCTTCGCAGGAGGCCTGGAGGGACGTGCAGAACCCTCCGGCACCTGAGGGCACATGTTAAAGTCCACCAGGCTATACGATCCCCGCAAATCGTAATTGCTGGCAGGCGCGGTCATCGGGCCAGGCACTGCTGTGTGGAGTGGTTCAAGTGGTTCAGATCACTAACCCTCCCAACAGCCCTAAGGGTGCAAATGGTTTTTACTCCCATCTACAGATTGACTCACTCACTGAGAAACTTAGTCTTAACTGCTCAGAGTCCTAGGACACTCTGGGCCCGTGAAGTCTTCAACAAAGACTGGAGAGCTTCTTGCCCTCCTGGAGTTTGCATTGGGAGAAAATAGAAAAAAAATTGAAACAAGCATTTTTTTCAACGTTTATTTATTTTTGGGACAGACAGGCATGAACGGGAGGCCAGAGAGAGGAGACAGAATCAGAAACAGGTCTCCAGGCTCTGGTTTTGAGCCCAGAGCCCGACGCTGCCTCAACTCACTGACCGCGAGATCGTAATCTGCTGCAGTCGACGCGAACCGACCGGCCACCCAGGCTCGAGTTGCCTTTAAACAAAGTGGTCAGAGGCAGTGAGACCTTGAGCTGGGGCTCGATCTAAGGCACAACTCAATGCATGGCGCAGGGCAGCTTGTTCCACCCGAGGGGCTGCAGTGCATGGGGCGGGGGCGGGAACCCAGGGAGGCAGGTGTAGTCAAGGTGAGACTGAGAATAACCTGTCCGGGCCACGACTGGCCGAGCTCTGCCTTTTTCGAGGGCGGTTCTTGTCGCTGGCGGCACAAGACGAGATCTAGGAGGGGCCCGCGGGGAGGGTGGAGGAGGGGGTCGGCAGGTGCCCGGCAGCCCCGACCGCGAGTCGTTTTCCCCGCGAGGGAGTCGCCGTCACACGTCACGCTGGCGTTGGATCGGTGGCAGCAACTGTAGCGCTGTGACGCTGGCGGCGCCTTCCTGTTCGTGATGGCGCTGCGTGGTCGCTATGTCAGCAGCGTGATCGCAATCACATTACATACCAGCTACCATTTAGAGCTGTAGCAGTATCATGTTTATGAAGTTTAACCTGATCAATTATCTGCTGGCGCTCGCCGAGTTTGTAGAGACGCCGTAAGGCCGGGCGCTCATGACGCGACATCCACGTACCGCCACAAGGCCGCCTTCTTCCGCCCACCTGCCTCAAGCAGGCAGGACCAGTGCTGGAGGGCGCCCGCCATCACTACCATCGGCTGGTGAGTGAGCCGCCAAAAAGTCCTGCCTGTTCTCCTGGATGGCGGGCTCAACTGAACTGAGCCAGAGCTTGCGTCTTGTTAGGACAGACTGAGGGTAAAAGTGAGTGTCCGGCTCCCGCTTTCTGCCGTGCAGAGCAGAGATATAGAGTGGAGAATCCCTGTGCAGGCCGGTGGGCCTCCCAATCCCATGCTGCTGTTCTGCTCCTTACAAGCCAGTTAGGATCACCCCCTGCTGGGTCGCTATTAAAGCTTCTCCAGGACAGGCAAAGCCTCTCACCACCCCCTCAGGGGGGAGCAGGCCTTAAAGGACGCCCTCTGCTGGGGTGCACGGGGACCCCCCAATGCTTTGCCAGATCGCTCTGCTCCTCCTCTCCTGGGATGTTGGCCTCCCCCACCCCAGGGTCTCAGCTAGAGGTCGCCAGTAAGTGACACGGCAGCAGCAGTGACCGGCTCAATGAGACATCATCACAAAGTTGCCACACACTGTGTCTTGTGCAGCCAGTTCCTTTCTCGCTAATCTCCTTGGATCCGCAGCAGCTGTTCATATGGGTGTCATTCCCATTAACAGATGAGGAAGCAGGCGGGGAGACGGACTGGCCCAGGCCACTGGTTAGTCGCGCTAAAACCGCATTCACACCAAGCCCGTACTTCTGGGGGTACTTCTCTGGCACGCGGGGCTCACCTCGACCCTGCACAGCCCCGGGGGCGCACTTGGTGCCGTGGAGGGAGCTGCGGGGTGAGGGAGTGGGGGGGTGAAATCCTCTTCCCTGCCGGAGCCCTGAGCTTCCTCAGGAGGTGGCCGGCTGCCCAAAGACACTTCCCCAAATCCCTCCCTCTTGGGGCCTCTCTGAATGTGGCGGATGTGCCCAAGACACGCCCGCCGGGCTTCCCTTCTCCGAAGGTCCTGGGACCAGGGAGTAGGATGTCCTGGTGACTGAGCATCTCCGTGGCTGGGGTGTGGGGAGAGCTGCGCTTGGAGTGATTCATCACCTCCGGGAGAGTGGGCTGCAGGCCAGCTTTGAGACGACACAATGGCTGGCATGCAGGGGAGATGGATAGTGGCCTGGGCGTACCGGGCGGCCCGACTCAAGACGGCCGTTTGGGAAATGGCCTGGGTGCTGGCCCCGGGGCCGCCCGACTCAAGACCGCCGTCTGGGACCGCGCGGAAGATGCCATCTCAGATCTAGGGTGCTCCCGTCTCCTGCTCCCAACAGGGCAGGGAAGGGGGGGGGGCGAGGTGGGCGTGTGCGGCATCTTCGGAGGCTGGTGGCTCCGGGGCTCAGCCCCCAGGCCCTTGGCTGTGTGAAACGGCCGGGAAGGACGTGCCAGGTGGAGGGTCCGGAGTGAACAAAGGCCCAGAGCGGGAGACGCATGCGCGCTCGGGGTCAGCGGGGTGCTGGGAGCAGCGTGGGCTGGGCGGGCAGCACGGGCCTCGAGGACGGTGGGGACGGGAGTGCTCATCCGCTCCGTGTGAGCCTGCACCTCTTCCCAGACAGGTGTGTTCCGCCTCTCCAACGAGGACTACTTCATCGAGCCCCTGGAGGGTGTGCCTGCCCGTCCTGGCCACGCCCAGCCCCACGTGGTCTATAAGCGCCAAGCCCCAGAGAGGGGGGCGGAGCTGGGGGGCTCCAGAGCTCCCGGCACCTGCGGGGTACCAGGTATGGTCCTCTCCTGCCCGGGGAAGGGGATGGGCCTGGAGGCACCGAGCTTCTTTCCAGAAGCTTCTCTCCCCATCTCCATGCACACCTCCCCTCGGACCAAAGGGACGCAGACAGACAGACACATCACCACAGCCCGTGCCTTCCAAATGTGCCTCCGGCCTGAGGCCTCTGCCTGCCAGGCCTGCCCCAGCTGATGCCCTGGGCTGACCCCTCTCACCACCTCCTCACCCACTGCCTGGCCAGGCCCACCAGGGCAGCTAGCCAGGAACCTCCTGCCCTTCCCCACACTGGTCCCCGCCCAGAATAACTCCTCTCTGTCCCTGGGGACCTAGCTCCAGCCCTTCTTCTTCAGAGCGGCCACGGTGCTGGCCAGTCCAGGTAGGGAGCCGCCTACCGTGGGCTGCCGGGTTGGGGGACTGCTTGGCCGGCACGGCAGCCTCGGAAGGTGCCACCGCTCAGGGACTCCACTGGTTGGAACAGATATCCGGTCATGCTTCTGGGCCTTGGTTTTCCTGCTTCGTAGATGTGCTGTCTCTTCTGATCCGGGTCAGCCTGGGACAGTGCAGTGGGTCTCCCAGGCAGTGGGCTGGGCCCTGGGGACCGCGTGTGCTGGGATGCACCAGCCCCCCGGGGCTAGGGGCCCAGGAGCTGCCTCGCTGTGTGTTCCTGTCCCCCGTTTCATTGCCCCCCTCCTCCGAGGTCAGCTTCTGTGGCTGTTTGGCTGATTCCTGTTTGTAGGTGGGGATGCTCAGGGTCAGAGAGGGGAAGTGACCGGGTCAGGGTCACACGGCACAGGTCCCGGGCGGAGCCACAGGGGGGAGTCCAGGCTGCTGCCTGTGATCCCAGCGCAGAGGAGAGGCCCCGGAGAGGCACGGCCTGGGCCAGCCTGCTGGCAGCTAACCCCCACCCGGCCTGGGGCCCACAGCATCCACGGAGCCGGAGGCCCGGCGAGAGCGTTGGGAGCAGCGGCAGCAGTGGCGTCGGCAGCGCCCGAGGCGTCTGCATCAGCGCTCGGTCAGCAGGGAGAAGTGGGTGGAGACCCTGGTGGTCGCCGACACCAAGATGGTGGAGTACCACGGGCAGCCACAGGTCGAGAGCTACGTGCTGACCATCATGAACATGGTGAGGCTGCGGAGGGTGGCGGGGGTGTGGGGCCCGGGCAGCTGGGGGGCTATGGGGGTGCGGTCGGGGGCCCGGGCGGCTGGGGTGCGGCGGGGGTGCGGTCGGGGGCCGGGCGGCTGGGGGGCGGTGGGGGTGCGGTCGGGGGGCCGGGCAGCTGGGGGGCGGCGGGGGTGCTGTAGGCAGTGGGAGGGCGGACCCCAGGCTGTCGGGTCCAGTAGTGGCTGGCGGACATCTCCTGGGTGAAGGGTCGCCATTTGGCCCAGGACCTGGCTCCTTCCTGCCTCCCTGTGCAGGCTCACAGGACACGGGCATCCACTGTGTGAGCCCCATCCTGGAGGGGGTCTGGCCCTCACGTTCACTGGGCTTTGATCAGGTCAAGCACTGGTCGGGACAGAGAGGGGACCCCTATGAGTCCATTAGCGCCAGTCACCTGGGGAGGCTGCAGGGGCTGGCAGGGACACGGGGGGCATACAGCAGCCGCTGAGAAGGGCTGGACCGTGGGTGATGGCTGCAGCCTTGCGAACACCGGCCTGTTCGGTCTCCTGTAGTCACTGCCCTGCCTGAGCCTCACCCCCATCTCATAGGTGAGGGAAGAAAGGCGCAGAGAGGCCAAGGGACATGTTCACAGTCACACGGAGGGGGCTGGGGCTCAAGTCTGTGCCTCTGGGTCCAGAGAGGGCTGTGGTGGCCAGAGCTTGCCAGAAGGATGGGGTAGCCGTGGCGGAGGTGGGGAGAACTTCCCTCCCTCTTCCCTCTGGAGCAGGTGTTTGTTTATTTGGCGCTGCTGTGCCGAGTGCCAGCTCTACCCCAGATAAAGTGACGGGTGCACGAGAACAGGTTCCCTTCCGGCAAACTCTGCCTCTTTGTAGCATGGCGCAAAGCATATTCCAGGGAGGACATATTCTGAGATGCTGATAAGTGTCCTGTGAAAAAAAGGTGCCATGGTTGAAGAAGTTTGGCAACAAGGGTTAACAGAAAGGAACACAGACCTGTTTACTGCGGGACTTCTCAGAGCCTTCAAAGCTAACATGTGTTGAGAATTTTCCGAAGTTAAGAGCAGGGGCTTTGGGGCAAACCTGGGTTCTGAGCCCAGGTGAACCCTGTCTTAGAGCCTCAGTTGCTCTCCCTGTAAATGGGGACGGTCATGCCTACTTTAGAAGTGAGACGATTAAGCAATATACTGCAGGTAGGGCTCTCAGTACAAGGACTGTACATGTTGGGCTTGGCACGTGTCCGCTGCTGCTGGTGTGGCTGCTGTAGCACCTGCCCTTCAGCCCCACAGCCACCTTCAGGGCAGCCGCACTGTTTACTCAGGCCTCCTGTGGGCCCGTTTGTCAGTGTGCCCTCTGTGCCAGACCCAGACCTGTGTGTGGGAGCTCGGGTGGGTCTGCTCCAAGCATCGCAAGCCAAGTTCCCCGCCTGCCCCTTTCTGAATGGCTTGTGTCATACCGTCAGCTCACTGGAAGCTTGTGGTCACCTGTAACCCCCAGATCTTCCACAGTCCACCCAGGCTTGCTCTCCGGGCCTGCAGCAGAGCTGGGCTGGGGATCGTTTATCCGGTTGAAACACCGGTACTGACCTCAGGCCATCGCAGACACTCACTGGCTGAGTGGGTCGGCCGGTGACAACTGCCTCCCTCCGGTCCTGCCGCTGTTGCTCTGCCTCTGTACTTCTCTGCCTCTATCTGGGGTCTATACTTCTTGGGGGGCAGAGGCGTCATACGTGCCAAGGGAAGGACCTGGTGGTGGCCGGAGCCGCCCGCAGCCCTGACTCGGGACACGGGAGGCCAGCTGTCGGGATGGTCTTGGCAGAAGCTTAGGGGCTTCTCGCCCTCCAGGCCCCTCTGCTGGGACCTGCTGCCTGTGGCCTAGGGAAGACTCCTGACTTCCTTCAGGGTGCTTTTCTCATCTTCTGCGAATTCTTTAGAATGAGACAAGGCGTCAGAAATTTTTAGCAGGTGCCCAAGATTCATTCCTTTGTTCAAAAAGCTCTTTTTGAGTGCCCGTCACGCCAGGTGCTAGATGGGTCACTGGGCTGGAAGAGGGCCCACACAGACCCCACGGGGCCGAGGAGACCAATGTCAGCGAAACCGTCATCTTGAGGAATCTGAAAGTCAGCAGAGGAGCTGCTAGGAAGGACACATTCACGTGCTTTGGGAGTGTCTGGCAGAAGAAAGGCTCCTCAGAAGATGTGCTCGAGGGTTGAGAGCTGGAGACGGGAGGACAGAACTTGGGAAAGACGAGAGGGAGGGCATTCCAGGCCGAGGGCACAGCATCTGCAAAGGCCCTGTGGTGTGGAGAACGAAGGGCTTCTGAAAGAGCCAGAGTGGTTGGACCAGGGAGTGAGGACGGAGGGGCCGTCAGCGTGTGAGGCGGGACTGGGACTTTTGTTTTCACCCTGTGGACAGGAAGACCCACTTGCTGCTTTAAGCAAGGGCACGGTGACTGGGTTTGCATTTCAGTGGCAGGTGACTATGAGGCTGGAGGAGACCTTTACAGCTGGCCAGATGAGAGGCTGTTGCCTCAGGCTGGGCGGTGGCCTTGGAGGTGGATGTAGGGAACATCCAGGAGGTGGAATTGGTTGATGCTGGGGACAGGGGCAGTGCACGGATGATGCTGGGGAGGGGGCGGTGCACGGCTGATTCTGGGGAGGGGGGTGGTGCATAGAGGTGGACGGAGGCACCTTGGGTTCTCAAAAAACAATCTATCCTGTTAATGGGCTTTTGTGTCCTCTTGATAGTGTGTGTTTTGTCCGTTTCTATCAAAATCTCATTTTTCTTGATGAAGCTGCTGGAAGCCAACTCATGACTGGCCTGTCCCGCCGTCTCTGCCAGCTGGGAACTTGATGCCTGTCGCAGGCTGACCTCTTTCTTGTTCTGAGGGAGCTTCCCCCACCCATCTCCCTGCACCTTCGCATACCTTCCGTCTTTGGGGGCGGCCTTTCCTGGGACCGGGTGGGGAGCCCCCGTGCAGCCGTGGGGCCTCCGAGAGCTTGCGCCTGCCGTCTTGGCCCCACGGCTGTGCCCCAGGGAGAACTTGAGTGTGGGGCAGTGGGGAGACTCTGGGGGCCTGTGCCTGCCCCAGCCCCCTCTCTAGTCCTGGCCCGCGTCTCCTGCCTCGTGGGAGGACTCAGTCCTGGGATGCTGGTCCTGGCGAACCCAGGGCAGGAAGAGGCTGCGGGGCCTCCCAGCCCAAGACAGAGGAGGCAAACTAGGGCCCTGGGGTGGGTGAGCTGGGTGAGCAGATCCCACACTGGTGCCCAGAACGGGCCTGGGTCTGGGCCGGCCTTTTGTCCAGACTCTGCGGTGTGTGTGCAGGTGAGGGCACGTTCCCGTGTGGGTGCGCTGCGTGAGCTCCCCCGCGTGAGAACGTGGGTGGTCGGAGGCAGGCAGTGGCTGTCTGGTACCTCTCTGCAGGCTGGCGGGCTGACCCCCCCCCCCTTTCTCGGGCAGGTGGCCGGCCTGTTTCACGACCCCAGCATCGGGAACCCCATCCACATTACCATCGTGCGCCTCGTCCTGCTGGAGGATGAGGAGGTGAGAGGTCACGTGGCCGCGGGCTGCCCAGCAATGGGCGTCGGCCGCCAGAGCCCTCCTGGTCCGTCACCCGGGCGGCCCCGTGTGGAAGGGCACGGCGGGCCTCCGTGGCCCGGGCAGTGTCCTCCGTCGCCCCTGGGTCCCCGGCCGGCCCTCCGTCGGGTGCCCCCAGGATGGGCCTGTGGGGAGGGGTGGTCCCTGGAGGCTGGACCAGGGCTCCCCGGCCCCCGGGCCTCTGTCTCCTGCCTTTGGAGGAGAATGGGGCTTGGCCCTCCGGCGCTCAGGGGAGGGACCCGCGCTGCCCTCTCTGCCCCCAGGAAGACCTGAAGGTCACGCACCACGCGGACAACACCCTGCGCAGCTTCTGCAAGTGGCAAAAGAGCATCAACATGAAGGGGGACGCGCACCCGCTGCACCACGACACCGCCATCCTGCTCACCAGGTGCCGCCAGCTGTTGGGGGGTGCGACACCGCCAGGGGGGCCGCCA